GTCTGTCGTTTCTTGATCTAACTTTTGTGTAATATAATTATGGTCGGTACTCATAAGTGTGGGAAGTTGTTTAATGATCAGAGTTTGTCCACTCAGCAGACTATATGGACTCAGATTGCCATGTGATTCAATTTGACGTTGTTCTCTCGCTTCCACCTGCACTTCATCATAACCTCTCAGTTCAATTCATGTGTATCTCCTGACTCTATAAAAGAGATGAGAGCTTTTCCTCGGTCTCGTGTAGTTTTATGATGACTAGAATGTAAATTGACAAGATTAAAGATCTGATTGTGGACTTTCAGAGGAAGCAGAAGAAAATACAGCCTCCATTAAGATCAGTCAGACCCCTGTGATGAATGTTAAAGGGTATGTTCACAATGCCATACTAACATACTGATTTTTGCAGTATGCAGCATGTGTAGCATGCATAGTATGTACATTTTCTCAAGTCAAAATAACCTTATTTATTTCGGAGATGATTTATATATATATAAAAAAAATTATAATCAAAAATCCAAAATAAATGATAAAATATTTTATAAAAATTAAATAAATTATATACATTTTAAATTTAACAAAGTACATGTATGGTAAGATAATGTCAACATTAAGTTTATAGAAGTTAATAGTATAAATATACATTATATAAATTATAATAAATTTTTTAAATATTATAAATTAAAATATTTAAAAATTAAGTTATATACATTTTCAATTTAACAGTAAATGTACAGTGCGATAATGTCAGATAGGTTTATAGAAGTTAATAGAATAAATATAAATAATGTAACTTATAAATAAAAATATTTTTAAATGATAAAAAAATTTAAACAATTTAATTTGATCAATTTTCACTTCAACAAGAAAGTACATGTATGGTAAGCTCAATTACAGTGTGGTGTCCCCCAAGGATCAATTTTAGGACCCTTGTTATTTTCATTGTACATGCTTCCCCTGAGCCTTATTTTTCGGAAATATAGCACATCTTGTCTTACCTGGCCTGGTTACCCATTTAGGTCCTCTGTCGTCAAACGTACAAGATCATGTGAGGAGACTTGGAGTGATTTTCGACACATCACTACTTTTCAAGTACTTATCTTAGTATCTCTACAACCAGTGAAATTTAGTTCAGGTGTTGCTGGGATGTTTACTTGCCTATTTTCTTTTAGTTAACGTTTATTTTTTCAAGTAACAGCATGTATGTTTTTAGTTTTAGTTAACTATAATAACACTGTTCTGATGTTACTTTGTGGTCACGATGTTTTTTTTCAAGGTGGTTGCTAGGGTGTTTAAAGGCCCAAATCAAAAGAACTCTTCCTAAGTGTCTATGAGACAGTGCCTTAGCAAACACTGCAATCATAACTTGTTTTACACTGATATCTAGAAGCCTAACTGTAAATTCATTTAAGATTCAGCTACATCAGCTGTGATTCAGGCAAACTTGTTAAGCTTCTATAAATGGCTCTTAATGGATGTTTTAAGTCAGATGCTGTGCATGTGGATCTGTGCCAGTCACAAATACTGCAGTTTTATTACATATTCCTGTGACTCTACAAAATTAGTTTACGGTCGATGCTAAGCAAAAGAGCGCAACATCCCCTGGCATCGCTTTACGATCAAAACATCAATCAGCATGCAGTTTGGTTTTCTGATGGACAATCAAACAAACTATTGCTGGGCATTAAATGAGATCCACATAATCCATCACGTTTATGTTCATGCATAATTGAAATGTCGGTGGATATTGGAGATGATCTCCACTCATGATCTGGGCTGGACGAGCATCAGAAAAGACGGTTCTTTTGGTTTAACTCACTCTCTCTGATGAATTATGGATAGAAAGTGAATGTTTCCTGTCATCTGTTCGTCATGGAGTCTACACCCTCAAAGAAGAATCTTAAAAACTATGGATAGTGATCAGATCTTTCTATTCATCAAGGAATCACGAAAAACAAAATGTATCACGGTTTCCACAAAAATATTCAGCAGCACAACTGTTTTCAGCAGTGATAATAATCAGAAATGTTTCTTGAGCAGTAAATCAGCATATTAGAATGATTTCTGAAGATCATGTGACGCTGAAGACTGGAGTAATGATGCTGAAAATACAGCTTTGATCAGAGAAATAAAATACATTTCAAAAGATATTTAAGTATAAAACAACATGACTGTGTTTTACTGTGTTTTTAATCAAATAAATGCAGCCTCTATGAGCAGAAGAGACGACTTCCAAAAACATTTTAAAAAATCTTATTGACCCCAAACTTTCAAACGATAGAATATATTCATTTTTGAATATAATTAAGTGGACCAAAAGGGTTTTACAACGTGTGTGTGTGTGTGTGTGTGTGTGTGTATGTTTTTTAAATGTGATTTAAGGAACCCATAAACTAAAACACTGATCTGAAGAACCTGTAATGAAACATAAAAATAAATCTCATTATTGCAACACAAGAACAGCTAAAAGTTGTTATTGATCAAAACCATTAAAGGTCACACTTTATTTTAAGGTCCAATAATTACTATTAACTACAACTTTTGCCTCAATTTACTCCTAATTTGCTGCTTAGTAATAGTTAGTAAGGTAGTTGTTAAGTATAGATATGAGGTTGGATTAAGGGATCTAGAATAAGGTCATGCAGAATAAGGCATTAATATGTGCGTTATAAGTGCTAGTAATATGCTTGGTAATAAGCAACTAGTTAATAGTGGGAATTGGTCCCTAAACTAAAGTGTTACCCTATTAAAGAACGTTTGATATTTTTATGAATTATGTAATGTTTGCTAGTGACTTTTTCCTAAATTGGATTTAGTATAAAAAGTGATTTAAAAAGTGACTGTAGAGCCAGACAGGATCAATTTCCTAAACATTGCCAGTGAGGATTTTCCACAGAAAACATGTTAGCAGTTGTAAAAGCAGCTCATTGATGGTTGCGTCATCGTCTTGTGTGATTCAAACTGAAGGTGCTTCTGTTTGAAATATTTATGCTTAATGTTCCATCTCTAATTGTCTGCATCTGTGTGTATATATGTGAGGGCTAATAAATGTGTATGCCGACAACTAAGTATATGGATTATAAACATTATTCTATTATTAGCTACTCGTGACAGCCAAGGAATTAAACATCCTGGAAGTTTAATCCAGTGTAAGTGCTTTGTGTTCAAATTTTGATGCCATCCTGAGGCTGAGAGTTGATGTGCGGTTTTTAAAGAGCATGAGAGCTACTCTCAGATCTCCTATAATCAGCACCATTAATGAACAAACACCATGTCAGACAAATGGATTATTGATGCTGCCTCACCTGCAGCATTAGATCACATATCCACTGCTAACCTGAAGGGAACAGCAGGGCTGTTTGGCACAGCTGCAATAGTTGTTCAATATCTCTGGTGGGATTAGACACCAGGGAAGCAAATGAAAGCTTCTTTACTAGATCTTTGGTTATAAAACAACAAGGATGCTTAGTACAGTGTTAAAAAACAAAGCTACTGTAGTTTTAAGGGGGAAGCAACCAACAGAAAGGATGGCTATTTTAAAGCAACTAACTCTGTCTGATGTGATTATGATTGATATAATTAATTTATGATGGTTTGAACACTTGAGACCATTGTTATTTAGTCCACTCTTATGGGTTTTTTTTTCACTGGTTGTTTTCTGCGTAACATGTTTGGGTGTTTTAATGTCTTCATAATGCCTGAATATCATTATTAAGGATGAATTTCACATGATAATTTCACATAATCAGTGAGACTCATTGACATTTAGAAATAGATCGCAACCTGAAATGTTTCTTCTTCATTTTGTCGTAATTTGTTTTTATTTCTTCAAAATCCTTCAGTTTTCTGCTTTTTCACAGATTTCACAAATGGCAAATTCTTTAGGACTTTTTGATTTTAGTATGTTTTTAAGGTAAGTAGCACTAATGTATGTGTGTATTTGACATTCAACTACCGGTCAAAAGTTTGGGATCAGTAAGACTTGTAATGTTTTTTTAAAGAAGTGTCTTATGCTCATCAAGGCTGCATTTATTTGATCAAAAATACAGAAAAAAAACAATAATCTTACTAAATGTTATTACAATAATGGTTTCTATTTTAATATCCTTTAAAATATAATTTATTCTTGTGATGCAAAGCTGAATTTTCAGCATCATTACTCCAGTCTTCAGTGTCATATGATCCTTCAGAAATCATTCTAATATGCTGATATATTATTAGAATTATCAGTGCTGGAAACAGTTGTGCTGCCAAATATTTTTTTTGGAAACTGCTATACATTGTTTCAGGATTCTTTGATGAATAAAAAGTTAAAAAGAACAGCATTTATTCAAAATATAAATCTTTGCTATCACTTCTTAACAATTTAACACTTTTATTTCAAAAAAAGAAAGAATAAAAATGTACTGACCCCAAACTTTTGAAATGTAGTGTACGGAAGAGCTGACTTAGTCAGCTAAAAAAAATAAGTGCATGACTGTGATCAAATCTTTTCTAGAAGCACTTTGTAATGATGATGAGCTCCTAGTAAAACAGCAGTCACATGGAGCGTCCTTCAGGGTTCGCAGGCCCCGCCCCCCGCGGCCGCTGATTGGACCCGCGCTCCATCACTCACGAACGGGCGTTTGTCATTGACCGGAATGCCTGTGGCTTTCAGAGCAGCTGTGTGGAGCTGGAAGTGAGGACGCCTTCGACATGAGTGACTTTAGGTGATCAAGGCACAGTTTATTTAGCCTTGAAGAACTTGAATCAGTTTGATTCGCTCTGGTGCCACAGGATACGAAGAGATTTTTCCAGGATTCACGCGGTTCTTCGGACGCATCCGGCGCAGGACTTTGCGCAAACGAACACCACATCTCCATATCATCATGAGTTAGAGCAAACACTTTCACCCACTCGAGACACACATAAAGCACTTTTTTAGACAAAGGGAGCCCTTAACTGGAAGTTTTCGTGCAGGACGCATGGAGGGTCCGGTGTAGAGGCGCTCGAAGGATGCCGTCCCGTCCCGGGTCCAGGACATCTGGCTGCTGGATGCTGCACTTTGTCCTTCTCATCTGAGAGCGATGGCTTCTGAGGTGGTGTGTGGTCTGATCTTCAGAGTGCTGTTGCCAGTGTGTCTGGCGGCAGGTAAGCGTCTCCATCAACACTTGGGGGTTGAGGGTTTCGGAGGGTTTTGCGTCAGTGCTCGATGTGGAGATGCGCAGTTTCTCCGTTACGCGGCAGGTGCGGATGATCATGCAGCTCTTGGTCTGTCAAATACTGTTTGAATTTAATTAGAATGTAGTTAAAAAATGTTATACGAAGACAGAAGTTCATATAAACTGACATTTTATGAAGAATAGATAGGTTTGTAGAAGGGCGCTTTGCCCATCATCTTCAGTGTATATTTGATATTTTTCCGTATTCATAATTTTTCGTAGTTTTCCACACATATAAATCACATATATTTGATTAGTCTTTAAATTCTGGGTTCAAATAATTTTTCTAAATATTATAGTACTGCGTTATACTTTACCAGTTTGCAAAGTAAGTGTTAAAAGGCTGCTCAAGTACAAGAAAAGTGTGTAAGGAAAACTGAAAAATTGCTAGTAAATTTCGCAAAGACACAGCAAGTATACACTGAATTCAACGTGAAATTTCGAAGTAGAAAAACAGAAATAGTATTTTCTTTCGAAAACGTACTCTAGTAAATTTCTAACAACCTTTTTTTTTTTTTGCGGTGTAGGATAAACAGGGGCTAGTTGTCACACTTTAAATTCTGTTGTGTATTTTTACAGAAAGTCCTTAAATAGACAATAAAAGATTTGAAATACAGATGTGTTGTTGAAAATATATGGTAAATTCTACACTGTAAAAAAAGAAAATCTGTGACATTTACGGTAAAATACCGGCAGCTGTGGTTGCCAGAACTTCACCATAAAAAATATGGTAGCAACATTTTAGGTTTTGCAGACTTAATTTAAATTCACGATAAAATACCGTATTTCATTAACGGATGTAATGTTAATAAACCAACATATTGAAGTACTAATATCTGTTTTGAACCATTGTAATGCACTGATAACCATCAAAAACGGGTGGTGATGAGAAAGTCACATGATGAACCAAAGCTCATCATAAACAGCTTTTCTACAAGTTGAGGAGGGCAATACTTATGTATAGAAGGTGCACACAGTGTCATTCACACAAACACTAAACCCCATCATGCTGACACACATGATACTGAAATAATGCAATAAACATTCATTTAACAACATTAGATGTAAGATTAAACCCTAATGTACACAACTGATAAGAAAAAAACTAAGACGAAACATGTTATTTCAACAAAAAAACATCAAATATGAAGTGTCATGCAGGGAATTCTGGGAGTGTCAATTTACGGTTTTTCACTGTAAATTATACAATTGCTTTTTCTTTTTCACTTAACAGTATTTTACTGTAAAATTATATAAAATGTAATTACATTTATTCACTGTATATAGTATGGAAACTTATTGTTAACCAGTTAACAGGTTTTTGCTGTAGCATTTTTACAGTCTTTTACTGTTAAAATCACAATCATTTTTTTTACAGTGTAGTGTGTATTTTTATTCATTTATTTATTCATTAATTTCTGCGACAAAACAAAAAGACATTTGTAACAACATATAGCTGTATTTAAAATATATGATTTTTTTAGGGCTTTTCTGTAAAATATAAACAGTAAACTGATTACTAAACACTAAATTCATGAAACGAAGTTTAAAAGGCATTGTTTTTGGTTCAGAAATTGTCATTAATTTGATAAAATAGCTATTTTCGAGGATAAGATTCACAAAATTTCTTAATTTGTGGAAGTGAACATACTATACAAAACCCCTGCTACCGAAAAATGTGTATATGTATTTGTATAAAGGTGTATATAATTTGTATAATTGGACTTTTGAGAACTAACCCTGTACGGTCTTATGTGCAAAACTGCAGTGTTTTATTTACTTTATTTTATTTAAGTGAAATTTTGGCTCTGAGTAGAGAAAATTGGCAAAATATATGAATGTCACAATAATGAACTCCTCCTCTGGTTGCTCTATTAAATGTTTTAATATGTTTAATAACGTGCATCCATCATGATTTGAGACAGTAATGCTGTTTTTGTCAGACAGCTTTATGTCTGGACTTCACCTGAAGTAAAACATGCAGGATCAATGATTATTAATCACTGTTTGTCCTAATGTGGTTTTACTCGTCGGCAGTGATTGTGGCTGGTTAATTGTTCTGTGAGGTGTATCTGATAACGAGTGTTTGAGTTGATGTCATAGATTATTGACAGAGTAATAGATGAAACCCCTCGGAGTGCTTTAAAGAGACATTCGACACCAGTGACGTCTGCATAAAACATATGGAGTGATTTTATATGCTTATTTATTCGTATTTATTTATTTTTTTATTCTGAATGATTCCATTCTGGCCCGGCCATTTATAGTAATAATCATTTACACATTTTCAAAAAAAATTTCTATTTGTGACATTATTAGACACTTATTCTATTCCCATCTCCATATTCTTGACAGCTGGGACTTATGCATTGATTGATTGATTGTTGTCAATTGCAGTTTTAATAAACATTGTCATTGAAAAAATATCAGTACTAAAAAACAAAAAAACAAACAATGAATGACTAAATGCATGAAAAAAAATTAATGAAGGGTTAGTGTGAAGTGTGTAGAGCAGGTTTAGTAATTTTAGTATATCAAGTTAAATTAAAATGAATGTTGTCTCTTGTCTAAAATAGCTTAAATAAGTTCAGTTTTTTAATATTTTTATTTTTCATTCAAGTAATACTCTTTATGGTTTTAGTATAACCTAGAGGTGTTTAGTCATTTTTGCTATTATATATAATAACCCTGGGGTGTTTAGTCATTTTGTTGTGTTTTCAGGGACGCGGGAAGCAGGGGTGCTGAGGGGGCTGCAGCACCCCCTGTTTTCACATGGTTGCAAATGCAGTGGCAAGTTTGTTCATTTAAATGTATTCAGTTTTAGCTTTTAATCATTTATTTGTAATGATCTCTGAAATGTAAATTGTAAGTGGGCTATAATAAACCCATGTTTATCTTTATAAACTTGATTAATTTTACTTGTGATGTTTTCTATATGGGATGATTAGCCTAATCCTCATGAACACGTGACGCTAGTGCGTGGTATCAGACATGAACTGTACAGAATGAGAATAAGATTAACTTTAATACAAGGAGATAATGGCGCAAAAGCGAATTTCAGATTTTTTAAAATGTCCATCCCAGCAAATACTTTACAAAATAGGCATCCAACACCAGCCCCAGCACGAGCACCAACGTAAGTGACCCCCCCCCCCCCAACACGGACACCCCCGACCCCCCCACCCGAAAGGTGTTCCAACAGTTGCAATGTAGTTGCAAGGTGGTTGTTAAGCTGTTTGGTTACTAGGGTGTTGCTAGTTGCAACTGGCCCAAGTCAAAAGACTAAAAAGCACCAAGTTCTAATCTAAATAATCTAAAAACCTAAAAAGCATGTAAGTTCATCGTGTAGAGTTGAATTTAATCAGAATAACAGCTAAGTTACCTATAATTAGATGAATATTATGGGTAACTATAAATTAAATCAGCCTACGGTTTGGTCGAAAGCTCCAGACATCCTCTGCTTAACAAATTCACAATGTAGCATCAGCGCACGAATTAAACTGCAGCCATTCCCTCTGGATTCCCCGCGTGGGCACTTAGCCGCTAACAATAAAGCAGCGCGTCTTTGTCACTTCCTCTCTGCCACCAAACGCATTCGCTTCAAATGGATCTTATTGTCTCAACATCCTCTTTCGAGTCCTGAGACAAGTCAGCAGAAAGCTAACGACCGACTAAACAGAACATAGTGAGACTAGCCTCAGACGCTCATGCTAAATGCTTTTTTAGGCCACTCTAATCCATAAAATCTCATTTATTAATGGGATCATATCACTCAAAACCGGATTTTGCATCTTATACAGACTAACCTGAAATCACCATGGTGATGATGTCACAGCTCATTAACATAACCGCATAATTACATTACACATAAAAAAAAGTAAGCTTTTTCATGCAATTCTCATTACTGTAATGCCAAAAGCCATGCTTTTTAAACTATTTTAACGACAAGCATGGTTTATTTAAAATGAATTAATTTGATTTCTGTAAGAGGTTGCTAAAAAGAACATTATTTGGTGTATTTGGTGTAATGAAATGTGTTTATGCGGTTTAAGGTTCAAAAAACACATTATTTTTTACATACTGTACATTATTGTTTCTCCTCTATGCCCCGCCTTTCTGAAACACGCCGATTTTTACAAAGCTCATCGGTCTGAAAAGCGAGGTGTGCTCTGATTGGCCAGCTATCCAGTGGCCAATATATGTTAATATCTATTTTGAACCATTGTAATGCACTGAAAACCACTAAAAACGGGTGGTGATGAGAAAGTCACATGATGAACCAAAGCTCATCATAAACAGCTTTTCTACAAGTTGAGGAGGGCAATACTTATGTATAGAAGGTGCACACAGTGTCATTCACACAAACACTAAACCCCATCATGCTGACACACATGATACTGAAATAATGCAATAAACATTCATTTAACAACATTAGATGTAAGATTAAACCCTAATGTACACAACTGATAAGAAAAAAACTAAGACGAAACATGTTATTTCAACAAAAAAACATCAAATATGAAGTGTCATGCAGGGAATTCTGGGAGTGTCAATTTACGGTTTTTCACTGTAAATTATACAATTGCTTTTTCTTTTTCACTTAACAGTATTTTACTGTAAAATTATATAAAATGTAATTACATTTATTCACTGTATATAGTATGGAAACTTATTGTTAACCAGTTAACAGGTTTTTGCTGTAGCATTTTTACAGTCTTTTACTGTTAAAATCACAATCATTTTTTTTACAGTGTAGTGTGTATTTTTATTCATTTATTTATTCATTAATTTCTGCGACAAAACAAAAAGACATTTGTAACAACATATAGCTGTATTTAAAATATATGATTTTTTTAGGGCTTTTCTGTAAAATATAAACAGTAAACTGATTACTAAACACTAAATTCATGAAACGAAGTTTAAAAGGCA